CATTTGTGCCCCCGAACAGAGAGCACTCTTCCTGCTGCCTCTTACACGCGTACTCATCCGCACAGACGGAGACAAACACACATTCTGCCGCAGTGCACGGCAGCCGGGGGGCCGCCGCGGCCGGGGATTATGTGCATTTTAGCGCGCACCTGCTACCCCCACCCCCTCCCCTCCCTTCCCCCGTCCCCTCTTTTTTATTATGCTTGTGACCCGTGCACCGTTGCCGTTCGGGTCCTCTCTTACGGTCGCGTTGTGAGGCGCGGCGGTGCAGTGTGACTCCCGGAAATCTCTCTGGCTGGCGCTGCCCCGCGCTGTATCCCTGTTATACCCCTGCTTTGTCGTTCTGCTGCACCTCGCGGCCGACCTACCAACAGGGCGTTATAAGCAGGCGGTGGCGGTAAATAAGTCACACTGTGAACAATACTCTCTCGCCTACGAAAATTTTGCATATTTTTCCGACGTGCAAACGGTTTAGTAAACTTACCTCGTTAATTTACGAAGGTCGAAGGGAATCAATACTGTAGTCGATGCAGAGTGCGTCAGATTGCTCGTAATTTTACGCAGTTTTCTCAGGGAAATGGTGCCATGAAGCTTGCAGAATGTGTTTCTCGGAGTGGTGGGCTGCGCTGCGCACTGCCGGGAGGGGAGGAGGGGCAGAGCTGCGGAATAATTGAGCGGATCGAGTATTTGAACTTGTGTCAACGTCATTTGTAGCCCTGTGGGGCGATTTCACACCCCTGGGTGGCTGAAATTTTCAACGGATGTAGCCGCGGCGGCGGCGAAAGGAATGTGCAGAGCGATAGGATCGAAAGCGGCTAATTCTCTGTCGTATGAAAACAAACTCGTTGTGTGTGTGTGTGTGTGTGTGTGTGTGTAGTTATGCAAGGGTGTCGCGCCGCACTCCGCCCGAGGGCGCGGGGGGATGCTCGCGACGGATGGCGCTAACGGGGAGCTAGGCGCCTGCTGTTACGGAGGGCCATAGCTCCGCCGCGGCTCTGACAATGGCGAAGCGAGAGGCTGAGGAGAGAGGAGACCAGGACGGGCCCGTCGTTGTTGGTGACTTCAAGCAAGGCTGAGGAGAAAGGCGACGGCGGCGGGAACAAGCCCGC